CATGATATAGTCTACAAAGGACTTGTCATGGAATAGTTCTCAAATTTAGAGGACCACAAATATACGAGTAATATTTTGGATTAGAGGAGTATATGCACAAAGCCCCATGATATAAAGGATTGTTTATAGAATTTTCTCATTTTTTTTAATTCTAAGAGTTGAGTTATATCTTCATTCCTAATCGGGTTTCTCGGTGGGTGGGCATGATCTATATTTTTAACTTATAGGAACCTATTGGATTGATGATTTGGGATTTCATGAATGCAGATGATACCTGTAGCCGCCAATGATGTTGCTTTCTCCATACATGCTGTTCTTTTGACAGCAATAACATTATTTCAGATTGCGATCTATGATGCAAGTATCTGTTTACTTTATATCTTTTGTTTTTTATTTGATATAATTCAGTAGAACTTTAGTGTATTTTTGAATTATTGATCATTTGATTGTCTTTACACTAAACTGCTTGTTTTTTTTTTGCGGTTTGTCACTCCACAGCGGGGAAGCCAAAAGGTATCAAAAAGTTGCATGGCAATTCTCTCGGTTGCGTGGTTGGCCATTGCAATTTGTGTGTTCATAGCTATACCCAAACATAGTTGGCTTTGGCTGGTGTCTTGCTTCAGGTAGCCCTGCCTTATTCCTTGAGTGATGTTTTGGGCATTGGTCAATGAGGTTCATAATTAGAAACCGGTGCTTTCTCCATTGCTGTTTTAGTGCATCCTACTTTTGGGAGCACCTTTCTAACTTTCGGGACATTACTACCCATCTTTTTTGAAACATTACAAGGGATATCTTATTTTTATATGGTCTTTACTTTTCTGTGATGATGAATTTATTGATAAACAACGAGGTTGCATATTTTGAGTGCTGATGAAATTGTGTATTGACTATTGAACTGTGTCCACAGCACCATGCAGGTTATCATGACAGTCATCAAGTACATTCCCCAGGTTATAACACTCAGCCAATGAATTATGCTACTTGTACACCACCAGCGTTTTGCACTCGCACACTGATGGCCACGCACTAGCACGGAATGTCAGTGCAAAATTATGCAATTGCATTGACATGTTGTGCCATTGTGCTAGTGCAAAGCACTGGTGTACAACTTGGTGTACGCCGAGTGGTGTAGAAGTAGTATGGTTGGTCAACCAATTGCTCTTTGTTGTGATGAAGTATGTTTTCCTGATTAGTGCTTATGGATCTTTAGGCAGTACTGAATTTTCGGCGAAAAAGCACTATAGGATGGAGTATTGGCAATATTTTGCTTGATTTACTTGGTGGGCTAACAAACTACGGCCAGATGGCTGTGCAGTCTATAGATCAAAGTAAGTCTCATATATTTCCAATTTCAAACCGATACAATTTAATAATAATTGGTCTATTGAATCATGAAGGCTACATCCCTCTATATAGGAATTACAAGATATAATTCTAAATAAGTAGGAGAAGAATTATAGTAACAATACAATAAGGACGTAATGAATAATAATATTTTATTTCCCAATACATCTATTATTCTTAATACAAACTATTAACATATGCTACAAGGCGAACACTAAGGATTTCGTATAAAGCCAAATATGGTGTAGCATCGATGTGATTAATGACACTTTTTTTTTCATTATCAGATTCTTGGGTGAATTTCTATGGAAACATTGGAAAAACATTATTGTCCTTGGTATGTGTTCTTTTTAACTAAGGGGAACTGCTTACAGCAGCCCTTAGGGCTGTTATTAAGCTATACTACGTGATAGTTATGCCATTAGGTTGTCCTTCGTATTAGTTATGCCAAATTCTATTTATTATTTATACACCAATTTTCAAATAAACAGAATTTTAATCATGAATCTAAGGTGCACACCTTGTAAATTACAATAGCAACAACAAACAACAACAACAACCTAGTTGATTCCCACTATAGTAGGTTCTGGGGAGGGTGTGTGTACGCAGACCTTGCCCCTACTCGGAAGTAGGGAGGCTGTTTCCAAGAGACCCCCGGCTCAACCTGCACAAAAAATATGGTAGGGAACATAATATAACACAGATAAAGCACCAAGTACAATGGAATTACAATAGCAAATGATTAAATTTTAAAAATAAAATAAAAAATAAATGCATGTCCTTTTATTATTTTATTGCTCATGTGAAAATGTCCATTAATCAAGGTTTTGAAAGGTGAAAACGAGCCTCAAGGCGGTGGAGAAAAATGCCTTGAGGCGTAAGCCTCGAGGCGGAACGAGGCGTAAGCCTCAGTTCAGTTTGAAAAAAACAATGCTAAAATGAATACTCCATGGTAATTACAGAATACATAATCCATAATCATGATGCTGAAATCTAAAGGCATCAATTCCTGATTTTTGCAAAAAGTAATACCCTCTCATAGTTTTTAAAATACAAAAAAGAATAGAGAATTACTCTAACAAATTTAAACAATAACATAAAACACAAAGTCACAAATGCCTCAAATCCGTCTTCAAACATGATAAAATGTATAAAGTTTCATGATTTTTTAATCTACTTCATAACCAAAATTAGACAAGTTTATTTCCACTACATAATACAATGAAATTTGTAGTTAGGGAGAGTAATGCTGGGAAAAGAAACAGAAATTTAAAGTTGGAAAAAAAATTTGAAAAAATTAGAAGGTGAACTAATTAGAATATGTTCGTTAAAAACAGGTATTTCTTCTTATACTTCGTTAATACAATACTTTTACCTCTCTGGCTTCCTTGTTTTCCACGCAACACCTATCCCCCACGACTTCAACTTCTTCTAGGAGAGGCTGAAGTGCTGCGCGAGAACTGTGCTAGGTTGAGAATGGAGAGGCAGAAGTACAAGCAAAAGAAATCCTAATTTATCAAGTTTAAGAAGTTTTTAACAAAAATCTAATGCCCAAGATTTTTTTAAAGGCCCAATTCCTTTGTACGGAGTATCATTTAACCCATAGGTGCTGAATTTTTAATTTGAATAGAGGCTACCGCCTCAGTTTCGCCTCACCGCCTCAACCGCCTCGGCCAGGCAAAGCGTACGCCTCACATACCCTTACCAAGGCTTACGCCTCTGAGGCTTAAAAGGCCCGCCTCACCGCCTTACCGCCTCGAGGCGGTCCGCCTCGAACGCCTTTTAAAACCATGCCATTAATAGGAGCACTATATTTACGTTAAGTCAATAAGACTTTGTAGTGTGAAGAAATCATCCAAAGCTCTTATCTCCAAAATATAAGTTCTATGTTTTTATCCTTCCATCATTGATTTCTAACTTTTATCTCTCTCTACGGGATGCATGCTATATAGGTATCAGTGTTCTTTGACATTTTGTTCATCATGCAACATTACGTGCTCTACCCTTCTAGGAAGAACGCTACTTCCGAAGATACAGATGCGGTAAGCACTAAGCCATTAACTATACCTTCCGATCATCAACACGCAGATGATGTTTAATGCCGCTCAAGTTGATACACGTACACTTTTTCCTCTCTCCCAGTAGGAGAGAGGCAATGCTAAGACCGCAAAGCGGTCTTTACATGTATATTACTGGTGTAATAAAAAAACAAAGCCTAGTCTGGTACCCAATGGGTAAAATAGGGATTGTAGTAAAAAAAAATGAAAAAACAAAAAACAGCTGTGTGCAATCTATTTTGTATGCTTCATATTAATTAGTGTTCATTTTGTTCTCTGCAAGATTATATCATTAATGTGAAGCATGTGAATAAGCTTAGCATATTAATTAATCAGGTGATATTGCTCTTTTTTTTTTAAATTTCAGGCTAATTTTGAATACTATGTTATCCTAAAATTACTAATCACACCCTATTTTTTCGTTTGACCTTGGGCCCATAAAAAATCAGGGACGCCATTGGTCTTATGCGGAGATAATTAAATACAACCGTGCTACATGTACATCACTTGGTGTACATTAAGGGATTATTCCAATACTTTTATGAGTCACTGACACAAAATGTTAGTGCAAAAATATTACGATTACATTTTGTGCCATTGTGAGCCATGAAGGTGCTAGTGCAACTCCTTGGTATACATCAAGTGGTGTGCAAGTAGTATTATTGAATTATATACTCATTCCTTCCCAATTTATTCTTCCTATTTAGAAGAATGTGTAAACTCTTATCGTTTTGAAATTATTATATTTACAAATTAGTATATATAAAAATCCAAATTATATCATTTAAAATTACATTAAAAGATTTACAAAATACAAGAGATAACAAGAATATATTTTATTTTATCAAATGATCAATAAAAATTTACAAATAAAAATTATCAAAATATTGTAACGGTCTGTTTGGTACACAAAATTGATGGAATTAGAATTGAATTAGATGGAATTCAAATCTCCAATTTTAATTCACTTTTGGCTCTATCAATTCCAAATTCACATATTTTACTGATACCAAACAGAAGAATTGGAATTCTTGTCCTTAATTTCATAGTTTGAATTTCGTGTACCTAACAGAGCTTAATACTCCCTCTGTCCCATTTTAAATTGCTTGTTTGCCTTTTTTCTCCGTCCCAAAATAAGTTGCCTGTTACTTGTTATCGTAAACTTTTAAGAGTAAAATACCTAAACTACCCTTAAAATAAGTCATTCTTCACCTCTTTATCTTCTCATTCATCGTCACCCATACTACAAAGTAATGACAATTTCGCAAAATCAACTCTACTTTTTCTTTTCCTTAAATATGCCCAAAAGTCAAAATAAACGATTTAGAATGGGACGAAGGGAGTAGTAATTAAAAAGATTAATTTAGCAAGGGGAGTATTACATAGTAGGCTAGGCGGCCAAGGTGCCCTAGCGGATCTTAGGACATGAACAACAATTGACTAAGAGAATGAAAATAGTTCTATCCGTTCTAAATTAAATTATCTGTTTTGATTTATAATACTCCCTCCGTCCCCCATAGATCTTCCCATTAACCCTTTTTATTTGTCCCACATAGATCTTCTCATTACCTTTTTTAATATTTAAAATACCACAACTACCCCCACTTACTTTATTTATTACACCTTTTCCACCTTATTTAATACACCCCACCCATTTTCATTAAGGGTATTTTGGTAAACTTTCACCTTTTTTCAACTCTCCTTAAAAACCGCAAAAAATCAAAACGAGAAGATCTTAGGGGGACGGAGGGAGTAATTGACTGTAGTTATTTTGTCAAATTAGTAATAAAATAGGTAAATAAATTAATAAAGTTTGACAATGTAAATAGTAAACAAACATTTTAAATTAGGATGGTGGGGAGCATTCCGTATCCCCGTCCTTATTCTTTATTCGTCTGTGGACAATGCTAATACCCATCATTCTCACATGCAGGTCTAATTAAAATGATACATCAGTTTTTCAATCATCCTTCCCGCAAACACTTTTTATCATCAACACTACCAAATTTCATCCTTCCTACATGCACCCTCATTAACTCTATGTCATCATTATTTCTTTATTTTTATATAACAAATACTCTTTTTGTTAATAAAAAATTAAATTACAAGTGAATATAATTTTGGAAAATTGTTCTTGTCACTATATTCAAAAAAATTGAAAATATGTTTGAAAAGGTATTCTCCAACAAATTCATCCGTGGGGATGGATGGAGAAGATGATGGAGATCGCGCAACACGCCAGGCAGGCCATCGCGGAGCTTCCTTTCTTGCGTTGGAGACCAAGGACATTTTCTCTTCACCCGGACTGAATTGTTCAGCTCTGATTAGAATAAGATCTGATCTGGTTTTAATTATATTTAAAAATGTTTCTGATTTGATGAGATCTGATCTAATTTATATAAGAATAAATTGAAAAAAAATATGCCCTATGAAGACTTTTTGTTTTTTTTTGTAAAAGTCAAATACATCAATTTTCTATATTGTTTTAAACACTTAAATTTAAGGTTTGTCATTTGTATAAAATAATATGATAAATTTTAAACACGACATGTTTTTGGCACGTATGAATGAATAGACCTAGAGGGTAATGTATACCATACACACCCCCTCCTAAGACCATATTTCCATGAGATTCTACTGCATTATTATTGATTTAATGAAAAAAAATTAGAGGGATCAAAAATAAAAGTCACAAATTTTACAAGAGGCAAAAACTTTTCACCCTAATAACTTATAACCCAGGTGAAAAAGTACATAATAAGTTAATAACACAACGCCAACGCTGCCAAATAAAAAATCAAGACAGATACCCATGGCGTTGGATACAAACTGGCGTTGAATGCCATTCCCATAAAAACCAACAAGCAAATAGCCCACAAAAATCAAAAGCAAAGGAAATGTGCAAGAGATGCCCAATATGTTGTCACAAAAAACAAAAACCTAGGGGCACCCATTTTGTACCGCTAAAGACGAATATAGAAACACAGACTCGTGTTTCTATGTTTGTCTTTGGTTATACAAATTGAGGTACACTACCCTACATCAAGGGTCACCATGGCTCTCCATTTCCATCATTTCAACCATCTGACCAATTCTTGGTTTTCTTTAGAGACGCTTCTTCTACTGCCACAACCTCTCCCGCGACCCTCGCGGCTACCCCTACTTGGAACGGCAGCCGTAGGGGGAGTGAACTGGAAACCATTCCTCTCAGTGTTATTTTCTCCTTCAACAACAACAAAATCATCACTGGAACCTGAGCAATGGGCCTCCATAGGGATTGCCTTGGGATCGGCATCCACTAAATCTGCAGCTATGACAGCATTCCGGGCAGCCTTCCCGCTAACCTTTCGGGCAGCAAGATTGGCCAACACAGTGGCCCGGGCAGTGGCATTATCCCTGTCTCCCGAAGTGATTCCCTTGGCACCCACCGGCTGGGCAGAGTGCCATTTCAAAGCTGCCAAGGCAATCAAAGGGGCTGTTTCAAAGCTCACCCACTCGCTCTCTTGACACTTTTTCCGATGAATGGCGAGTAGGTGCTTGCAATCAAAGGGGCTATGGCCAAAATCCTTGCAAAGGTAGCAATAATGTGGCATGTCCTTGTATTCCACCTCTTGAGTGTAAGACTTCCCATTGAAGCGAACCGGGAAGGACATGATAGACTTCTTAGAGAGGTCCAAATCCACCATCACACGGCAAACACCGGTTTCCATAGCAACACCATCACTACAAATCGGTTCACCCACTTTCGAAGCTAGAGAAGCCACCCTCTCCGCGGACCGCAACTCAACAGGGACATCCAACAACTTTATCCAAACGGTATTTGGGTGAAAGGCTCAGTATTGAACATAAAATCTTCCCCGGGGATTCGAAGAAGCAGTTTCTTCCCACAGGCCTTGTGATGCCGGTTCGCAAGGGCATGGCTCCGGTCAGCTCTGGATTTGAACCTAAAAATGACCAAACCCGTCTCCTTGCGGAGTGGCAACATCTCGCAGGGCACACCCCATGTTTTCTTGAGATTGCTCACCGCCTTCAAACTGGGAAACTTCCCAACAAAGAGGCCCACGAGGACAAAACCCCACAATTCCTCAATGGGTGATACAGGCGTGGGAACTCTTCAAGGAAGAAGAGAGTTCCGAGGCTCTGTAATGAACAAGAGAGAAGAGAGTGTTGAAGAGAGAGAAAGAAGTGAGGAGAGAAAATATCTCAAAATGTATTCTGATTACCATATCAATGGAGTTCTAGCCTTACATAGGCACCCCTTACACACATGGTGGAAACTAACTCATTCACTTACAATAAGTAAAAAGAACATGGGTTAAAAATAGAATTAAGGAAGAACAGTAATTGAGTAAAGCCCGCATCATTCCTTCCCCCTTAGCCAAAGCTTTGTCCTCAAAGCTGGACGTTGGAACCTTCTTCATGGAATCAACAGACCACTCCCACGTTGTTTCATCAACTAGAATCTCTTGCCAACTCACTAGAACGGCACCCCTTCTGTGTTTGCTCTTTTCAGAAATCTTCTTATTAGCTTTAGGCTGAGAGTGAGTCTTAAACTTGGGTGGAAGATGAAGTTTGTAGACCACCTTTCCCTCTTTAGAAATAACATGAAAAAGGCCCAAAAGGCAAGCCCCATCTTTTACTGGACTTAAGTGGCTGGCTAACAGCTGCATTTGGCTTTGTGCCCTTTGTAACTGCCATTTCAATTGGTTAAACATAGCTATATCCTCCCCCTGCTGTAAGGACCTGTCCACTATCTTCACATTAGTTTCTCCAGACAAGCAAGGCTTTGGATTGTGGAAGCACATCCCCCTGAGGTAGGTTTCCAAATGCGTGTTGATCCATTCAGTTTGTCTAAGTTGCTTCCATTGCACCCTCTTTGGATAGAACTTGGGAAGGGCCGAGATACCTGGATCCCAAATTCTCTTAACATGCATCTGTTTCGGGTTTCTTCCAAACAGCTCAAAGTTGAGGATGGTTATTGGAATCACCTGAGATTTTGGCAGTCCCACTATGAAGCCCCTAAAAACCTCTCTCCAATTCCACACCTTAGTAGAGATCTGTGATGGCTGGAGTTGCTGATTGTATTCCTGCAGTTTAGGGCCAAGAAACCAACTTTGTTTGATATCATCCAACAGAGAAGAGCTCCTCACTACAAGAAAACTGTCAATTTGCAACGGACAATTTCCGTGGCAGATTTTAAAATTTCGTGGCAGATTAGCAATCTGCGACAGAACAGCAACAAATATTTTACGTCGCAGAAAATCTGCCACGGACCTGCACCCCAAAAATCTGCGACGGAAGTATTGAAACCGTCGCAGATCTGCGACGGAAATAGCGACGGAGATGTACGTCGTGTTGAAACATGGGTTTATCGTGTCTTCGTACTAAAGCCGTGTTTGTTTTTATGACAGGTTTTGATAATGCCAAACCACCGTGAACGAGACAAGTTGTTGAATATACAAGGCGAGAAATAAATATAAGAAGAAAGCAAGAGAACAAGAGCTAAAAGAGATCAAGAACGAAGACCGTAGTCTTTAGCGTCGTTGAGTCGGTCACAATGTGATCAAGACCGACCCAAGCTTTGCACTTTGGCTCTTTAGGCTAAAACATTTTTTATTGCATTTTACATATCATCAAAATTATTTTCAAACATGCTTAAACACATTAAAAACACTTGGTGTTTGCCCAAACCAAAAACCAAGCCATCCGGCGTTCGGGTTTCAGAAACCCGTGTCCGGCATTCGGTTTTCGGCGTTGGCTTTTGGTGTCCGAACCAACCAAGTGGTTTTCAAAATTTTATGATTGGTTTTTACTTCTGGACACATTTAAATAGTTTTCCATCAAAAACACTTCAAAAACCACCTTTCGTTTTTTGTCGTTTGATAAAAACCATGCGAAACGGCATAAACTTGGCTAGGCGTGGTTTTTACTTAAATGGAGTGGTTTTCGAGTCTTTTTGTGTGGGAGTTGTTTTTGAATGCATTTAAATGGTTCTCCAATCAAAACATCATGAAAACCACCTTTCGGTTTTGTCTTTTGGTAAAAACCACCCGTGTACAGCATTGACTTGGTCATCCGTGGTTTTTACCTTAACGACGTGGTTTTCAACATACAAAGCTTATTTTGACATCAAAATACATTAAATAAGTGTTTTAAACACTTAGTTTTTACTTTGGAGAACATTGCATTTTTCGGTCGGGTTTCAGTGCCGGTCGGCTAAGCCATGGTTCTGGACAAACCATCTACCCAGCGATGGTAGAGTTCACCCATGCATGGGAAAGTGATCCCGGGATTCCAGAATCATTTCACCCAGCGATGGGAGATATTACCCATCGATGGGTAAGCAGCCTTTAGCCCAATTGAATTCCAGAACCATGACAAACAACGATGGGAAGCTCTTCCCATCGCTGTTCAAGCCTTGGTCCAACGTTATCACAAGGCAGAATGCCCTTACCCAGTGATGGGAAGCTTTACCCATCGATGGGAACCCAGCGATGGGAAGGCTTAACCATCGATGGGAAGGCATGACCGTTGGAAGTCATTTAAGGCTAATTCTTTCCTTATTTGAAAGTCAACCTCCCACCCAGCGATGGGAAGCATTTACCCATCGATGGGTAGGTGACCGTTGGCTTCAAAACTGAGGGAAAATTGGCTTACCAGCGATGGGTAAGTCCCTAACATCGATGGAAGCCAATATCCTGCAGATCCCAAATCTTTTCAATCCCATAAATCAAGCCAATCACTCCTTTAATGTATTGGTCCGTTGGAGCCTATTTTGGCACTATAAAAATGGGTGTTTGGGTCTGCTTTACACACCCATTCACTTCACAATATTCATATTATCATTGCATTCAAACAACATAATTTTTCATAGCTTTCTAGAGCCAATTTGTGAAGTTTGAGTTGTTTTTGAGCGTATATAGTTTACTCAACATCTCTACTCTAAAAGAGAGCCTTGTTCTTGAGTGTCTTAGTGTTGTATACACGTTAAGGGAAGCTTGTTTCCCTTGGTTGTACGAAGGAAAGGTATTTTCCTTCGGGCTGAAGTCTTGGAGTGCGGTATCTCCGAGCAAGTGTTGTTGAGGCTCGTGGGACTCGAGTTCTCAGGTTGTAACGGTTTGTTAAGCACCCGTAAGCTTAACGGAAGTAGTGTAGCTCGAGAGAGTCTCTCGGGAGACTGGATTAGCCACACGTTGTGGTGAACCAATATAAATCTTGGTGTGCTCCCTTTACGCCTTCTACGCTCTTTACTTTTCACGTTCTTAATCTTTTATTCTTGCGATTTCTACAATCAAACACTATTCACCCCCCCTCTAGCGTTGGTCACTTATTCTAACACGTCGCAGACAGGCGACAAAACGCAGCAACAAGAATTTCCGTCGCAGACAACCTGATCACAGCACCAGCATTTTTTGTTTTTCAGCTTTTAGGCAGTAGCAGGGGCAACACATTCAAATTTCACACGCATAATTCTAAACAAAATTTCAATACGGAATAGATAATTCAAAACGAGATTAATTAAACCTTCACGTGCAAATGTAACATAATTCATAATCTTGTAAAAAGACAAAATATTAAAGTGCTTGTTTCAAATGTCAAAGATGTCAACAAATCCAGGGCTGTCCCGCCCCTCCCATTCCATCGTCATCGCCTCGTGGAGGAAGATTACCACCATATAACTTCCTTATTTCCTCCTGAATTGTCAGCGACAAGTTTGAGGTTAGATTATCAAGTTGTTCCTGCAGCCTTTGGTTTTGCTCTTTAAGTGCTGCCATCTCCGCCGCGCTGCTGCTACTAGTGCTGGAACGGCAAGGTTTGGAGGACGGATTGATCTTCTTCATTTCCCGTGCATAGTCACCAAATCCAGGAACACGGTTCTTTGCGTTATGGCCCTCGACTAGCGAGTACCATATTTCTTCGTCGGTGACTTTAAGTCCATTTTGTCTAGCCTCCTCGCGCAGTTCGAAGAATTGTGCCTGCAATATATGATACTTAATAACACACAATAACAACGTAACTATAATAGCGTGTAAAGAACAGCAATAACAACATGAACAACATCAAACAACACAAGTCATGGTCAAATGACAACAACAAAAACAATGTCATATGACAACAACAAAAACAACAATAACAACACAAGAACTTAACAACATTATCATGGATCGATAAGAAACGTAATATCTAGCTAGTGATGACAACACCATCAACTCAACAACAAAAGTAGTGTCAACCCTACAACAACAACACCATCAACGCAACAACAAAAATAGTATCATATGTCAACAACAACACCATCAATGTAACAACAATAATAACAACACAATTAACAATAACATAAACAGTAAGAATAACGTCAACCAAAACAATAAAATTACACAAGAAAGCGACTACATTATCACCCTTTAGAAGCTTAAAGACAAAAACAACAACATTATGAGCATGAACCCAAATTATTTTGCAAATTGTGGAAAGTACCTGTAGCTCAGCATGTCCTGGATCCACCCAAGTCTTGCAATCGTGCTTCTTTGTCTTTGTGTGGATGATAACCTCATCCAACTGCACAGGCGTCCCTTTCTTCTTAGCCTTCAAGTTTCAATGAACATTTCCATTACATTTTAAATTTAGTGTCCACCGAATAACAAGTGCAAAGCTATTATTTTATAAAATATATCTTACCAATCGATTCATATTTTAAGAAAATGGAATTGAACCTCCGCAATAAGTCCCAAGAGCAGGACCATCCTCTTTTCCCTTTCTTCTGTTCTTCTTCTTCGTCTTACTCAACTCCAAAAACTCTGGATCCTCTTCCCAAACCTATAGTTGTATATTTCATAAACATTACTTGTACATAGAGATTTATACACATATGCTCCAAACATATGCTCCAAACTTATAATTTACCTTCTTCAACTGCTCAAGTGGCCGAGGGTCCATCTTCTTCTTTTTCAATCGAGTTGGGTTCCTTTGATTGTACGTATAACTCGCGTATCGTTCAGCAGCTTTCCTGAGAAAAGCTTTCCTCGGCATGCCCTCATCAATGGACGGATCCACTCGAGCATTTTTCTACATTGACATCATAGAAAAGTCAATAACTTAGATTGTATTCACACACACACACACACAGATATACATACATACATACATACATACATATACATATATAAATATATATATATTAATTTTCTTGTGATCGAAACAAGTTAAAGAATAATTTTTCCAAAAAACCTTGAACTCTCGAAAGTAGAACTCCTTCGTCGTCTTTGAGACTTTGCCCCACGAAAAGCCAGTCGCGTCCGTCCTCTCGTAGAATGCTGGTGTGATGAGCGCAGCACCAGCTCTAGTGATTGTAACCCTACAAACATGTATAAGTGGTGAGCATAAAATCGTTAGATTACTTACTTAAAACATGTAACCATACACGTAGATTACTTACTTCAAACATGTAACCCTACAAACATGTAACCATAATCTTCAAATGTAGTAGATTACTTACTCGTCATCCGAATTGACATACACGAACTGACCGTGATGACCGGGACCCTCGTGATATCCACCCTGTTGGTCCACATTATCGTGGACCTCGTCCTCACCATCACGCGCCCCGCCACTGCGTCCCTCGCCAAAGCAGTCCTCGAAGTCATGGTCATCGCCAACTCCATCCTCCTGATCCTCAATACTCTCCCCCGCCCTAGATGCTATTAACACAATAACACAATAATACATGCATTAAAAACAACTATGAACAAGCTTAGACATTAAGTTTCAGTTTCGTGATAAATGAAACATCACTCTAATTGATTATCCGTTGAAACTTCTAGTACATTAATCTCTAAGAGGAGAGTTCCATACCTGACGTACAAGGGCCAGATGGCGTAGTACGTGGGGTGGAGGGGGACACCTGCGTGTCAGTGAATGGACTCGAGGTAATAGAGGAAGTGCCTGTGGATGTAGTGGCTGTGCTCGATCCCTGGCAAGAAGGGGGTCTCCATCTACCAATGACGGACCTCCTCAAACGTGCCAACACCTCAGAATCAGTCGACGTGGGGGGAGGGGGGTTCTCATTGTCGCCCATCTGTACAATAATAAAAATAATGTATACTTAGCTCATTAAACAAAATAAAGTTCACATAGCAAAACATATATCAGTCATTAGCAGTATAAGAAACATTTGGAAACACATTTACTCGTCATTCTAATTTCACTCGCTCTCTGTTGAGTCTTGTTCTTCTTCTATTGAGTCATCAGAGCTTAAAATTGGTTCTTCATCCTCATCTTCTGCGTTACTATCATCGTCAGCGAAATTCGCATCTCCCTCTCGTGATAGATTAATGTGTTCATCTTCTTGTGTCACTTCCATGATTGTGGTTCTCTCGGTCATCCCATTTGCTTGAAAAGGTTCCTGTTGCACCTTGTCTACTGATTCTAGTGTATTTTCTGATTCAATCCAATTACCACTAGGGTGAACATGACACACTGCAATCCAATCACTCTTAGTCTTTTGCGTGCAAGGGTATTCCACATACACAACCTGGTTTGCTTGTGACCCAAAAATAAAAGGCTCATATCGGTTAAACTCTCCCTTCTTAAGCACCTCAAGTAAACCATACTTCTTGTGTATTCGTGTCCCCCGATTCAACCTCGGATCAAACCATCGACATTTAAACAAAACACAACGTTTAAGTGGCAAAGCTGGATACTCAATTTCAAGTATCTCCTCTAATACCCCAAAGTACTCACCATATTCGCCAGTAATAGATACCCCACTGTTGTACACCGCACGCTTTAAACCATGTTTTACTGTGTGGAAGCAGTAGCCGTTTACAAAGTATATTGGGTATGACTTGGCAAATGATAAGGGACCCTTGGCCACATCACTGATTATTTCCAGGACAGACCTATCATTCTCTTCCTGAAGATGATGTGAAAATAGTCACGCACATATGTATTACCTCACATATATTATACAAAAAAATAAAAATAATAACTTTACGTGTTTCTGGAACTAATTTGCAAACGTCTCCTCTACACGTTTCAACAGGGATTCTTCACTAATCTGTGATGTAGACTCTTTAATCTCATTTGCGCACAACCTGACATACACTTGTTAAATCTCTACAGGTGTATTACAAAACAATATTTTTATTCGATGCCAAGCAAATGTAAGTACTTACGTAATATAAGGATCAATCTCCAGACAATTAAAGAGTACGTAATGGTGTGCGGCTTTTAGCTCCTCCGGAGTAAGTTGCCTTTTACGCATTTTCCCTTGTAACCGTCCTGGTGATTGAAATATGTCAAAAATCTCTTGATTTGTAACATCAACACCTTCTCGTGATTCAGGGTCATTACGAGGCACATTTCTTGCTCGCGTGTAAACGTGTTCTTCAAAGTAATGAGAACAGAAGTAGGATGCCTCTCGGACTAAATACGCATTGGCTATGGAACCTTCTACGCGAGCCTTATTTTTCACCATTCTTTTAAGGCGATTGAGGTACCTAAAACCATATCAAAGGTTTAGAAACATATGCCCAATAAACCTTGCAACTAAAAATTTAATATTTTTGAAATTACCTCTCAAACGGATACATCCACCGGTATTGAACAGGCCCAGCAACCCGTGCCTTATAGGGTAAATGAATGGGGAGATGTTCCATACTATTAAAAAACCCGGGAGGAAAAATTGCTTCTAGCTTGCACAAAATGACTGGGATATCTGCTTCTAACATTTTAAGATCCTCCACAGAAAGAGTTTTGGATGTTAACCTCTTGAAATAGTTACTCAACTCCGTAATCACTTCCCAAACAACCTTTGGAAGTAATGCTCGGAATCCAATGGGCAACAACGTTTGCATGAAGACATGACAGTCGTGACTTTTCATCCCAAACATCCTTAGCTTTGTTGGGTCCACACATCTTCCCAAGTTTGAAACATAGCCATCTGGAAATTTTAACGTTTTCACCCAATCCAGAAATGCTTTACGCTGCGTCTTATCCAATGTGTAGTTAGCCTTAGGGTACTTTCCGGTTTGAGGATCACGCTCTAACTCTTTTCTTGAGCAAAACAATTTCATATCTTCTCTTGCCTTTGCATTGTCTTTTGTCTTGCCCTGTACATCCATTACGGTATTGAAAACATTTTCAAAGATATTCTTTTCAATATGCATAACATCGAGATTATGACGAATCATATTTGTTTCCCAATAAGGCAAATCCCAAAAAATACTCTTCTTCCTCCATCCGCAAGAAGTGTCCTTCACAATCTCTGAGTTAATGGCATCACCATTTTCGTCCACGATCCTCCGCATGCCCAAACCTACAATTTCACGTAGTGTCTCTTGACCATTTTTTCTAAAGGGTGGCGCTCTCGTCTCAACTGTATTCTTGATGAACTTCTTATTTTTTCTATAAGAATAATCCAGGGGAAGAAAACGTCGATGAGTGTCAAACCACGACTGCTTTCCTCCATTGGGTAGTCGAAATGATTCAACTTGATCCATACAAATGGGGCACGCTAACTTCCCGGCCGTGCTCCACCCAGACATCATTGCGTATGCAGGGAGATCACCAATTGTCCACATGAGGGCAGCACGCATTTTGAAGTTTTGCTTGAGTGACACATCATAGGTCTCAACACCTTCACTCCAAAGGGTCTTTGGCTCTTCAATCAATGGCTGCAAGTAGACGTCAATCTTTTGCTTCGGATTAGACCTCCCAGGAACAATTAAGGACAAGAAAATATGTTCTTCTTTCATGCACATGTCAGGGGGAAGATTATAAGGAGTAATCATTACAAGCCAACATGAATATTGGGACCCTGACTGGCCAAAGGGTTGGAACCCGTCCGTGCATAGTCCTAGGCGCACGTTGCGCATTTCTGAAGCAAAAGAAGGATGGTCTACGTCAAATCTTTTCCATGCCTCAGAATCACAAGGGTGACACATTTCGACCCAGGTTTGTGTGTCGATGTGTGGCATGCCACCTCATTGCCCCCGCCGTACGTTTGGACATATACAAGCGTTTCAACCTGGGTGTAAGCGGAAAGTAGAACATCTGTCTGTGCGGAATCTTAGACGTCTCGTCTTTATAGCGTGGCTTATGACACACCTTGCACTCGGTAAGACTTTCATTGCCTCTCCAATATAACATGCATCCAAGAACACAACAATGAATCTTTTGGACCGGAAGACCCAAACCTTCAATCATCTTTTTAGTTTCATAAAAGTCATTCACCATTGAGTTGTCCTCCGGAAGAATGTCTTTGATGTATTGACATATGGTGTCGTAACAACGCTCAGATAGATTATGCTCTGACTTAATATTCAACAAGCGCGCAACTGCAGACAACTGAGACATCTTAGAACTCCCCGGCCAAAGATCTGTATCAGCAGCTTTCAACATTTCGAAGAAGTGCTTGTCTGTCGAATTTGGCTCTTCTTCAAGAACAGAGTTTATCCTAGTCGGACCAACTGCATCATAAATCATGTGTACAAACTGTTCTCTACCCGGGACATGTGATACATCTGAGGCATCAGCTTGACGAGGGACTTTACATCGTTGTGGAGGTACGTAGTCACCATGATTCTCCCCGTGACATACCCAATCAAAGTAATTGGGTGTGAATCCAAACCGCAAAATGTGCTTCAGCATAATCTTTGATGAGCAAAACTTGATGTTCTTACATTTCTTGCAAGGAGACATCGCATTTTCTTGTTATCCAACCTATCTACATTGGGACTTGACTCACAGTACTCTACAAACTCAACCACGCTGTCCACCCATTCTTGACTAACAACACCTTCTCTCTCATATTTCTTATACATCAACTCACGATTTTTGAATGGACTCATTCTAGAAACGCCTGGTAATTGAAAGGCAACAAAAAACAATCATTTAGCCAAGAATATCAATGACATTTATACCAACAAACCATACCTACAATAAAGACGGCTAACAAACGACAATTTGATTAAACCACAAACAACACTAATTTAACTATAGATATGAACATATTATACACTAAATTTCACAAAATTCAACTAAAGTTTACCTAAATTCACAATAAATATCAAATTTACTAACACAATTTTAATTAAAATTTTAACCAAAAAGTAATGCAATTTTTACCCAATTTCATGTCAATTTCATCTCATATACACACAATTTAAGTAAATTTCACCAAAATGCACTCAATTTCACACAAAGAAATTTAATTTCACCAAAAATTAAATTAAACACAAATACCTACGGCAAAGATGCAGAGGATGTCCGACGGGGAAGAGAAACGGCTGGCGTGTAGCGGCGTGAACGACGGGTGGCGACGGCTGGTGGGCGGGGGGCGACGGCTGGTGGAGCGGCTGGAGATGACGGCGCGGCTGGGGAAGACGGCGTGGCTGGCGGGGCTGGGCGGGACGGCGTGGCAGGAGGGCTGGCGTGGCTGGCAAGAACGTTCGTCGGCGGCGAGGAAGGGCGTTGAAGGCTGGCGGAGGAGTGGCGTTCGCAGGACGGCTGACCGGGAGAGAGACGGGATAGGGTTGAAGTGAAAGACGAATGGCTGGGAAAATTTCAATATCGATTATCACTTCAGAAGCTGCGACGGATCGGCGACGGATATATACCTCCGTCGCAGATTATCAGGTCAAAAATTGACCAACTTAAATTTGCAACAGCCACAAATAATTCGTCGCTAATTTGCGACGGAAAAATAGGGTCCGTCGCAGATTATGTTTTTTTTCAAGGATTTCAACTCCGTCGCTGATTCGTTGCAGATCTGCTACGGAAATGAGTCTGTAGCAGATTTCCGTTGCAGACGAGACAAATTCTTGTAGTGCCTCCTCAGCTGATCTTGCCCCTCTTCATGTCCTTGTTTGTAGTGAACCCCATAAATATAACTCATTAGATTGGATAACCAAAACTGTAGGCAAGGCATTGTCGCTTTGCCTTCTAATAGCCATATGGAGCTCTTTTGATCCGTTTGGATGATAATGGATTGGTGGATTGGGAGCAAGGCCATTTGCAGCTCTTTCTCATAGGTGAGTGTTGGCCACCTCATTATAGTTTCCATCTTGGTGATCACCTCATGAATTGCAAGGTAACATTGAGCTACTTCCACGACAATATAAGGGTGATTCAGTTTCATAAAATGAGTACACCACTGCCTAGCAAGTACCATTGCTAAAGTCAATAATTTCTTCTCATTGGTGGGGTTTTGACATCCCTTTACAGCTCCTATCTTGCTAGAGTCAGTAAGTACCTCCAACAGCCCTTGAACTATAGGAAGTGANGTATCATTTTCCTTAGAACTTGACTACTGCCTCTGTCTATAAACTCCATTCTCATCTTACTACATTCCCATTTTACTGGCCCAGCATTTAGGATGTGTACTGGTAGCTGCCCATAACATCCTGCAACTTTTGTTGTTTGCAGCATATCATCATGTACCACTGCTACTAACTCTTTCTCTTTGGTGGGGACGGGCCACTCCCTTACAGTTTCTACCTCGCTAAGCATTCCACTTAATCCATTTAGTTGTGAATGATAGGAGAGAGTCCTTTGCAAGTCAACCCCGTGAATTGTGAGGTAATATTGGGCCGCCTCTACCGCAGTATAGGGGTGAGTTAGTGCCATATAATGAGTGTACCCATTCATCCTATCTGCAATCTCCACTATAGTATCCTCGCCCTTTGCCTTTGGTAGCTTCCCCACTAATACCACTAGAGAGTCATCAAGGCTGTAGCTAATTTGCACTACACCACCATATAACATCATAGTCGACTGTTCGATCTTTTCTCTTTTCTTGATTCGGTACTTGTAAGGTGAAGCATCCATTTGTGGACTACCTTCATTAACCCTCCATGAGGAAGTAACCTCCAGTTGGCAGTCTGAACTGATATGCAACAATTCTTCCTTTGATTCAGTGGAAGCATTTACTAAAATAGAAGGGTTGTCCCTCTCCAATTGATAACCTAAATCAGAGTGTATTAGCTTTTCCTCTAAGTCAGTATCTCTAGCTTCCTCCACTACAAATAGTTGATTCGCCTTCTCAACGCTCATGTGTTCCCTCTCAAAGGGTTTCTCAAAATAATAGTTTAATCCCTTTGTATTTGGCATACACTTGGGCTGACTTACTGCAAGTATGGTCTTGATAGCATCCACAGTAAGGGTAGGTGGCAAGGCTTGATTAGTATTAAACACTAGCTTAGGAATCCTTCTTTTTCCTTTATTAAACTGCTCAGTTTCCTCTTGATTCCAAAGAATCCCCTCACATTTAGTGGTTTCTGATAAGAACTTAGGCTTGGAGGTCATTACAATTGCCTTTATATGTGGTTTAAGTCCTATGAAGTTGTACAAAGTGTGATTCCCTGGTAGCAGTGGATTCTTCAACCTCTTACAAGCCTTTAGTTCTTCAGTTCTCTCACCATTATCCTCCAGACTCCTTATTTGATTCAATCTGCTAAACTCCTCAAATGTGCTTTCACTTAGGTCATCCCTGAATTTAGTACTCAAATCTATCACCAAATCTTCCCAACAGATGTTAGGTCTGCCTACAACATAGCTATTAAACCAAACTCTAGCCTTCCCAATCATATACCTCGAAGCTAAATCCACTTTTTCCACGTCCAAAGTTTGGTTCAACTCAAAGTATTTAACACACTTCGTAATTCATATTCGAACATCAGTTCCATCAAATTGGGGAATTTCTACAACTGAATTGAAGTTGAAATCGAGTTGTTTCAGATTACCCTTATCCCATTGCCGCACACAATCCTGATCCTTCTCTGATAATGCTCCATTGACGATCGTCCCCATTTGCTTCAACATTTGACAGAACAATTGTTGTTGATCATCAATCCTTTTGTTTCGTTCGGACATCTGGAGATTAATTGATTTTTGCTGATCAATCAAATTTTTTAGGGTTTCTGCCAAGGACGCCATCTTCTGCGATTGTCTTCCTTCTCAAGCTATCGCCGCTGCTTTGCTTCTCGATCTACAGTCCCTGCCCAGACGAGCTGCTCTGATACCAATGATACAGGCGTGGGAACTCTTCAAGGAAGAAGAGAGTTCCGAGGCTCTGTAATGAACAAGAGAGAAGAGAGTGTTGAAGAGAGAGAAAAAAGTGAGGAGAGAAAATATCTCAAAATGTATTCTGATTACCATATCAATGGAGTTCCAGCCTTACATAGGCACCCCTTACACACATGGTGGAAACTAACTCATTCACTTACAATAAGTAAAAAGAACATGGGTTAAAAATAGAATTAAGGAAGAACAGTAATTGAGTAAAGCCCGCATCAATGGGTCTTATGCATTCCTCAGGAATCCAAACTGCAGCGCCAGGAGAAACCCCATCTACCTTGTACAGCTTAAAGCCAAGGCTGGGGACCCTGTTCTTGCGGAATGGGGCAGCGAATCTTGGCTTTTCTGGTTGGGCCATTTCGTCGAGCAGTTTGGGTGCAACGCCAAGGAGGTCATCAACAGAAAGTCCATCTTCCGAAACAGCAGTGGACGAGGAGGAAGAAGCGAGTACACTGTTTACCTTCTTCTTCGTGGTGGCCGCCACAGCTGTGGCAGCCGGAGGAGGGTTCTGACGACCTCGAGACTTCTTTCCCCCCTTCGCCATGGCCTATTATCGGTGGAGCAGTTGAATTCAAAACCAAAGGATTTGATTGATGAAGAAATCAACCACTCCGTAAATATACAAGTGTCTTACTGACAATGGAGTCACTGCACTGTTCATTATGCGATGCGCATGCCTGAGGCCCTGAGCTAACGCTAGGACTGACACAAAGTTTTTTTTACTTCCTCCCTTCGAGACAAAATATCAAATTTTTTCAATTCATTTTATTTACATATTAGTATAGAAATAAGTAATAAAATTTACATATCAAAGAACTACATGAAAAGTTATTCGAAACAAGAGGTGTCAAGAATATTTTATTTTATCAAATAACCAATGAAAACGTAGAAATAAACAAAAGTTCCCGCGACTGCTTAAAAAGTAAACGTTTCAAATAATTTGAGACGGAGGGAGTAAAAAAAATGGTTAAATGATTTCAATTGATCTTTTCATTTATTTGAAACAAGGACAAGGCTATTTGTACATCAAAATATGTACCCAAAAGCATACATGGACATTTTGTACTAGTGTTTCTGAATTTTTATTTACTGTGAGCTTTGCTTGAATGCTTTCGAATGGTGATTTGGTGTCGAAAAATGAGGGCCAACTATTGTCAATGACGGTTGATGTTTTTGCCCGGCTAAAAACGATATACCGGTCGATAATTTACACCATCAACGGTTGGTCCACATTATTGGATCGATGCATCAGGGTAGAGAGGGCCCACATTATTGAATCGATACATCACGATTCCCGTTTGACAATCCTTCACAGAAAAACCATGAACATCGAATTCAACGGAGCGGTTATTATCACGGGTGAATTAACAAACAAATATAAGGTTATGAGTGATGTAAGAGGAGACCAATATACGGAGTATTATTTAGGGAGAGTGGAGGGGTGGTGGGAAGTAGGGTGGGCGTGAAATCCGTTCCGAAAAATCCCGGATCCGTTTTGTAATTGTACCGATATATTGGGACACATTTTTTTTATCCCGAACCCGTTCCGTCCCAATATCAAATGGGACATGAGCGGGACAACTTAAATTTATACTGATTCGTCCCGTTTGTCCCGTTTCATCTACTCTACTAATATATAATACTAATTCTAGTCCAAAATCCGAATACACTCATTCTTAAATTAATTAGTTATTTAATTAAATTAACTTCATGAGCTTAGAATTTATTTGGACCCGTTTCACTCATTGTTTTTTGTTGGATGGCTAGATGTTTCTTTTTTTTTGAATGAAATTTCACCCTCTTCCCCTTCTTATATTTGCGATTAGGACAAAGTAGGACGACCCAAATCCGTCCCGTTTTATTTCGATCCCGAATTTTATGGGACAAACCGGGATAAGATTGTAATCTGAACCGTTCCGGACCGTTTATATATAACGGGACAATACGTGGGACAACCTAAAATCCGAACCGTCCCGATCCGTGCCCACCCCTAGTGGGAAGTTTGTGGCTACCAACAGCCGTAGGGTTTACCTTATATCCATTACCAACAATGATATAAAGTGGGTGAATTTAATGTTTGAGAAGAGACATGAGAAAGAGTACCTAGGTCAGATGCAATATGGTGAGAAGCTCTAGTGTCCATAAACCATGTGGGCTCCCGAAGAGACATAGTTTCAAACTAATGGGTTTGGTAAGGGTAGTGAGGGGCATACAGGTAAGGATGAAGGGGGGGTGGAGTGGTGGTGTAGTAAGCATGGGCATGGTACGGGTAGGGTCCGGGTGTGGGTCTGGGGCCCTGCAGGCCGGGCTAGGTTTTTGGGACGAGTTAGGTTAGTGCCAGCTTTTGTAGCCTTCATGAGGTGGTCTTGGTTGCAAGCGAGTTTGACGTCCTCGACCGCAACCGCGCTTTCCACTATTCTAATTTTATCCCAAGCCATACCCACCACGGTGGCCGGTGTTGCGGCCCGAACCTTTGTCGCCATAGGATTGCCCACCGCTATCGCGATGCACGGTTCCGCTCCCAACAGTGCCTGCTGGATAGCTCGAGAAGTTGTTGGGCCGTGCAGCAATTAAGACAGTCCCACTGCTGTCTTGGGAAACTATAATTAAATACTTCTCCAAAACATACGAATAAGTAGAGAAGTGTTTCGCATCATTGTTGCATGAGTTCAATATTTTTGTCTCGATTATCTGAAATTCTTGAGCGGGATTGTGAGATTCATTATTCAGTGGAATTAAAGTCTCACCATGAGTGTTTTAATTGAGAGACGAGCGAGAATACTTAGGAGTGAGAATACATTACATGGATGGACGAAAGACCAGAAACTGCACTAGTGCTACTGCAACAACTGCTCAATCATCTGTCTCTATGTCGCAACCCTCGACGAAAGGGGAGTGAGTTTTCCATCTAGCCCACTCGACCGGAGACAAGAGACAACCATGAACGTCTCTATGTTATTTGAATAATGATTTAAAATTTAAAAATAAAATTTACCTGTAACACCCTAATCCGTCCAGGTCTGCAGCCCCTTTCAGACTAAAGTATTAACTTGGTAATCGTAAAATTTATAAACTTTTCAAACACTTTTATTTATCACAATATTATTTTTTTTATAACATATACAGTACGGAGTATTCAACAATATTGCCGAAGCTTAACAAATCATAATCACAAACATAATTAAAACCATCACATCCATTCCGACAATCTCGCCTCCGTCTGCCTCCAGGATCACGTCACATCATTCTTTCTATTAACCTGCGTGTAGCAAATAAAACATACTACACGCTCAGCGGTAAAGCTGAGTAAGCATATCTAATGCATCGAACATCCATATAAACAGAATCTCAATTCATAATCAAATCATTTGATATCATGCACATAATGTTTGGTTCAGATATTCAATAATCAATATTCAATTTTCAACATTCATTATTCAATCATTCAACATGTATATTCATCATTCATATTCAACATTTTTATTCAACATTGGTCATACAATGTTCATCATTTGTCATTCAACAATATCCTTAAACTATTCTTATAGTCTAAGGCCAATCTGTCTGATGTTTACCAACTCTTAAACGAATTCTAGTTTAATATAGATAAACTATATTCCAGTTGAAGGTACATTTAACCAACTCTTAAGCTAGGTCATTAGTTTAAGGTACATATTTTTCGACCGATTTACCAACTCTTAAACTAGCCTTCGCTTAAGGTACAAATCCATAAAACCGAACAGTAGAATATTAACTGTCGGGTTGGGTGGTATCCCCAAACGAGTTCCTCTAGTTTGGTTTGTAGATCCCGTACGTACGTTTTAACCCAGGCCACTGAATATTCATAATTATACCCGCAAGGCCTATTTCTAAACTATCTTAGAGGTCTTCTAGATAGTCTTAGAAACCAACGTCAACCTAGGTATATCTCAGAGTTCTTCCAGATATCCTTACAATCCAAATCATTTCATAATCATAAACATATTCATTTCAATTCATAATTTAATCCTCAATAATCATTTTAATCAACGGTTTCATCAAGTCATAACCATAATAATCATTCATCATAATCATCAATCAACATATCATTCGATAGCAAATAGCGGCCTAGCTTCGAGTGTTAACACCCGAACTCACCGTCATGCACCACATAACATTTTTATTTGTTAAAAACATCATTTTTATTGTGGTAAATCATTTTTATAATGATCATAATCAATTGGTATCAAAAATAGGATTTTAGAGCTCAAAAATAGCATTTTTAGAAGTATTTTCGGAGCAGACAGGTCGAGGGATCGATCCAGGCAGTTTGATCGATCAAGGTAGTGTGACTGATCAGGGCAGTGTGATCGATCCAGGCAAGGTGATTAATCAAGGCAGTGTGATCGATCCAAGCAGTGTCATCGATCTAGGTAGTGTAGTTTTAGGTTACTGTTCATCTTCTTCAACATTCAGTCCATTTTTCGGGAATGCCATTTTTAGGTACTGAATTTCAATTAAATTATATAGAGATGTTCTCCAAGGCTCATAGATCATTTTAGAATCATTAAATCATATTTTTAACATCAAATTTAAGGTTTATGATTCTTAGTTTTTCAAATATGTCAAACACAAAACTCAACCAAATGACAATTTATGAACGTAGAAACGACCTATATGAACATTCTAGTCATTAGATATATCTACGGGCTTACCTCGAAGGTAAATGAAGGTTTTGAAGATTTTTCGGCGAAACTTCCAGCGACTATATCTTTCTACTCCGGTGACCTCTCACAGAGCTGACAGCACCAGTGTATTCTCCTGACTCAGAGCAGCAGGATAGAAGGAAGAATTGTAGATTTTGGTGAAGAAATGAGGAAGATGAGTTCCTCTTATATAGTAGTAGGAGGAAGAAGAAGACATGGGATTGAGTGATTTCCAGGATCGGGGAATCGGCTAGTGCGCCGTTCGCACAGTAGCCCACCGTTTGTTTGATTCCCTGATTGGGACTGATTTTGGTCCCAGTTGGGGTACACTTTTTGGTCCAACTTTCTCCGAATTGAAATCTGTTTGCACCGTTGTGATCATACAATTAAACTCTATCCAACGATATAATTTTTATATTTATTTGTAATACTTTTTACGACATCATATTTTTGGGTGTTTGACTTTGTGAGAGTCAAAATTGGATTAATTGACTTTTATCATAAAAGGTTCTTACATTTAATTTATTCTCATGGTTTATTCCAAGAATTCATTTCAAATTTCATATCACAACAATATCTTCATTTATCCTTGATTTGGGTCTATACTCTAGTTCCTAATCAAGGTCACATAATAAGTCAACATTTTGGCTTTATCTCTATGAGACTTATCCTGATTGTAATACTGTATATTATCTTATTAATAATTCTAGGGTATGTTTTGGGGCGTTACATTACCGATCAACCCAACTCCTCCCATCCTACCTCAGCCCATCTCGGCAAATCAGCCCCCAGCCCAACATCACCACCACGCATCCCATGGTCACCCGGTCCAAAGTCGGCAAATCCAAACCCAAACATAATCTCAACCTCAACTCCATGGCCTAGATTTCCCCACTCTTACCCACCTATCGTAGTGCACTTAAGGATCAAAACTGGTACATTGCTATGTGCGATGAATTTAATGCTTTGATTAA